AAGGAAAATATTCAAGTATTTTAATGAATTTGAATGTTATGTTTTGATTTGGGGAAGCTATTTGTTACAAATGTTGGTAGTGCTCTGATGAAAGGAACATTGCTCTGGAGTCTTAATTATCTGATTAGAGTGACAGGTTCTAGACATCAACATTATCAACATTGGTTTTACCCATAAATGTTAATTTCATGGTTGTAAACCTATTAAATTCTTTTAAATCCAATTCTCACAACCTGTGCATATATTATCATTCTATTATGTACTGGTATATATTTTAATCAACAATATTACTACCTTGTCTTCCAGTTTGGCTTTTAGCATTGTCAATCCACAAGTAGATGGACTTAAATTGTGCCAAGCACTTTAACAACCTATTTTAGGTGAAACCAACGGAGAAAAAAGGATTTCAATTTATTAAAACAATAGAGCATTGATTTCTTAACAGATAGATTTGCTTCAAAACATGATATCAAGTATCTAAAGCATCACAGTCTTCATCAGTTAAAGAGTTTGAAGGTAAATATTTCTAGGTTTGGAAGCACTTAAGAACTTAAATGTTTTAATTGAGCAATTTACCTTGCCATGTGTTCGTCATTGTTCCCAGGGTAAAATAGGGCCAAGACCAAAACTTTCTTGGCTCTTGCGGCTTGATGGCAAATCTACATTTCCAAACAAACATCCAAGAAAGAACAATGTATTGATTTATGCAATTAAGCAATTTTTTGTGAATATCAAAAAGTAAATGTTAAGGAAGCACATGATATGAGAACAATAATTTTGGCTGTCAAATTTTGATACAAATGTGGGTGGCTGACCAGCGAAATATGACAGATCATCAACACATACCTCCTCGAGGTCGACATTCACAAATAGGGGCTGGACATCTCTTTGCTCAAGCACCTCTTGGAAGCATCGAAAAATTTCACTGAATTGACTATCATCTGAAATGAAGAGAATATAAACATTACCCGTAACAAGTAAATAACTAAAAACTATGAATTCATGTCCTGCTCAAAACTTGGACTTCTAATTATGTATCTACTATACAGATGCAAATTTTATTCTGGAAATAGGTTAATAATAGTAACATAAAATGTAGTATAGAAGTTATAGCACAAACCTGGCACAGTCTTTGCATCCTTTAACTGTTCTCGTTATTTTCTTCAGCTCTATAATTTACCCGTATTTTATTATCATGACTCATTACTTTTTCGATCCTTTCTTCTCCCTTGCTTCTAGCATGACTGTACTAGCAATTAATAAGGCGTCAACTTTCGTAGTTCACTATTACTATAAATTTGTGGGTTGTTTGAATTGATGCTGTTTACAAACCATCACACCTGCATTCTACCTCTTTCCTGGCTTGCCGCAATTGACTTTGTGGCGTTATTTTCTGAGGTTGCCAAGACAGACTTCATCAAGCTGTCATCGTCAGAGTCTGATGTTACGGTAACTGCCTCTGAATTTTGATCCTCTACGTCTGTTGTCAGGTCATGAGCTTGTGCACTGGACTTGCGCGTAGCACCTAAGATTTAATTTTTCGAATCAGTTTAACTTTGGAATAAATGCATATGAAAAAGTGTTTTTTTAAGTTCAAACTATCAGCTGGAAATTATGTGTGGTTGAAAACTTTCAATCGCATACAAAGCTTAAGAAATTCTAGGGGAAAGTAATCTTTGTTTGAATGTTAGTACAAACATAGTTCTATTTTACAAGACTAGTCGGTATGTACACAGCACTGTTACAGTAATTTTTTGTATTCTCATCAATATGGGTGACTTGGTCTAAATCATGTAAATGACACTGCCTTTTAAAGCAGTCATTAAAAAATGACAGGAATCAGAGTTCTATTTGCCCAAAGCAATAAGCATTAAACGCATTAAGGGAATACAGTACCTTCGCTTTTCTCAGTTGTTGTCTTTTTTGGGGCAGTAGTGTTTGGGTAGTGTCCACCTATAGGACAAAATTCTTTACTATCAACTTCACATTTCAACATTATTGTTATGCATTTTCAGAAGTACCTATTGTGATACTGAGCATGAAACATTGCTGATTAATTTTCATTCGAGCTTGCCCATTTTGAATTATGTCCAACTGTTGAAATTGAAAATTGATGGCAGGTTCTGATCCTGAATGTTATGTTTATTTAGACAGATGCATTTTTCCTAACTTAAATGAGTATTAACCAATATTTCAAGCAGTTTTTCCTTACTTTTTACTGGAAAGCAATGAAGAACAGTAATCAGAATAATTCAATATGTATAATAATAAATCTTAACCTGGGCTTTCTCTGACCAAGATGAAAATTTTTCTCTTGGTCGTGCCGCATTTCTGTAAAATTGACTTTGCAGCGGGTATGCCTTTTAACACCCTCTCCATCCTGCTCCCTCTACTTGTGGACTTGTAAATATGAATGCTAAAAATTATATCAAAAAGTCAGCTGTAGAGATCGTAGAATGTGAACTTGTTAGTTAAACAGCAACTTAATGGGTTTTCTTTATACTTGTTTGCATAGGGTTAGGGTATGCATATGCCGCGCCAGCAAACCTCTCCTATGAAAAACGAGATTAAAACATCCAGTCCAGTAATGGTTATGAGATAGGAAAAACACAAGAATAATCTTGTTGGTAACTTAGTGGAAAAAGTTAAAATTTATTTATATTACCGGATTGATCCTTTCGACCTCCTTGACCATTCAAACTCTGAGCTGACCTATTGACTTCCTTATGAGTTTTTAAGTCTACTGGTTTAAACACTCGTTATTCAGTGGGATGCCTGTGGCAGGCCCACGGTAAGGTTTGCCCGGCGTTCCTTTTCATCGTCGACGTAAATATACAAATTTTATTAAATTTTGAAATGCTTGAAATGTTTTACATTTTCCATATCTAGTAATCGGTTCTTTTTGTTTGCGTAAGGTTATTTCTACGTTTAAACACACCATTTTGGTGTGAGCTCTTCGCCGCCATGTTATCACAAATGGATTTAGGTAAAGTTGATACGAGGGAAGCTAACGTTTTCGTGTGGTTAACCATGAATTGTGTAATGAAATCTACCGAAAAGCCTCTCACCTTGCGTAAGGTTTATTTTTAATATGTATTAGTTAAGTGTGTACAGCCTGTTTCCGTAATTCTTAACGTGTTTGATACACACATATTACAAGGGCTGGAAATAAACATTAAAGGGGAGAAGTAGTTGTCAGCGGAAATGAATTTTTTTTATTCCAAAGCTGACGTTGCTCTTTGGAGGGATGAAACAAGCGATGAGAAACGCGAGGAGATCAGTAGGTCGAGTTCCAGTTTGTTTCAGAAATATCCAAAGGTTTTTTAGTCGCCACTCTTGCTATTTTCAACATGGAATGGTGAAAGAATGCATGGAAACTGATTGGGACTCATGGTTTAGCAATCTTCGCCGCTCGCACTCGCACTAAATTTTTGCCGCGGCGTGCTTAAGCCGCTTATAAGTTGGAAAAAAAGTGTTGAAACAAAAATTGTCGTCACGAGTAACTGTTATATAGCTAGGGTAGAACACCATTTTAATAAGGAGGGGAAATAATTCTTTGTTGGAGATATCAGGCAAATGAGGGTTCGAAATATAGATGTCTGATTGTATCGCTCCTTCAGAATCAGCAATTGTTCCAGTCTGGAACAGACATGTTCTCCTACTCGGTCGGTCATTTTAATGACGCGGGAAGCAAAGAAAGTTATCCTCTAAGAATGCAGGAAGCCTCAGAACCTTCCAAGCGTAGAACTTTTCACGTTAGCATTTTAGGTGATGGATCGGTAGAAGTGACAGAAGATATTTCTGGGTGGCGTATCCACGTGTGGGCCAAGTTATGTTTATTTTCCTTTTGTATGTCTTGCACCTGCCTAGAAAACGGGAACCTAAGAAGTCTGCCTTCTCCTTCATTTTATTTCAATTCTGTATCAAGCATGAGAGAATATTTTCTGTAAATCAAGCAAACGAATGAAAGTCATACCTTTTATCTTTGATGCCTCGCAATCCTGGAAAAGTCGTGACGATTGCTTCCCGAGTCTGCTTTTTGCTCATTCCCGTGGTGAAACAGACCTCTTGCACCCTTCCATCCCGATTCAATAAATCCCAGTTGTGCCCACGTGGGGTGGACTTAACTTTCTCCTTAAGCCATACCAATTCGCGTCTAATTTCTCGTCCAGAAGGTAAAGAATCGCTGCTTGAAGAGGAAGAGCTATCACTGCTAGCCATCTTGATGCTTGTGGAATACGTAACATATTATCGAGGATAGGCAGCCATTTTTATAAGACTAGCGTCTCTCTTGGGGTTGTTTGTGGTTAATTAAGACTTCGTCTCTCTGTTCAGTGATTGCCTATGTTGGTTAGCTCTTCTATTTCCGAAAGGAAATAAAGTTGTGAGGAAGCTAACAATGATTTTACACATCATACAATGTAAAAATTCAAAGAGACTGAAAAAGCAACTCACAATCGTAGAACAAAACCTGGTCTTTTAAGATCTTTTACGGTTGTAGAGTAATTATATAGTTAAAGACCGTCAGCGCTGAAATTGACGAAAGCCCGCAAAATTCGTAAGTTTCACTAAAATCCTAGAAAACTATGTATCGGAAAAGAGCTTAATGAAGCACTTTGCGCGAAAAAATATAATGCAAGCGAGTTTTCCTTTTAGGAAGCGTCAGGACTCGATAAGGCGTGAACCGACCAAGAGCTCTTCTATCGAATTTATCGGGTATCCGATGCCGCCGCACAAGCAAATTGGCGGCATTAATTAACAAAGGTTTGTCGGGCTTTTTTTCGATATTCTGATTGGTTGTCTAGATATCGGCATCTAAAGTTAGAGTAGCTAAAAATGTGAAAGGCGTGTTGCGTAAATGTACGCCGCGGGACTAATAATTTCGAATATCAAAATTTCACACTTTCGTTTGTTATTATTCCCGGAAAAGTGGAAAATGCTCCCAAGAGACTCGTCTAGGTGCTAGATTATGACACCTTCCTGATGTAGGACTGTAGTTTCCGGCCGATTAGCCGCCGGTAATCTGTTCGTTTTTCCACAAACGGTTGGTGCTGGTTATTGGAAGGTGTGGGAAATACTAGAATTTTTAAAGCTTTCGGTATAATTTTAAAACTTTAAGCAGGAAAAAAACAGAAATAATAAGATCCAGTTAAAATTCTCTTCCAAAAACTTTTGCAATAACTTATTTATTTTGCACGGGTAGCTCATTATAATAAGAGACTTTCATGTTCTTGATGAAAGCCGATGCAAATCGAAACTCAATAACAAAGATTTTATCTCGTTTGTTCTATTACTTTCATACCTTGTCAATTTCTCAGCTTGTTTCTTTGTTTAGTTCAAATACATTTCTTAAGTACACGGGTAATGAACTTGAAAATAAAAGGAATTTAATTGTGAAAAAGCAGGCTTCAGAGCAATTCTCACGGAAAATGATGCCGACATGTTCATTTCCTGGGGCCGCATAATTAAAGGAGCGACAGAATATTCGACACAGCAGTGAAATTTGCTGGAATTGAAAGGTGAACAATGACGCACCTACGTTGATGTAAGAGTTGAAAGGAAGTAATAAAAGAGAAAGTGAATATTCACTGGAGAACACAACTTCATCTTTCATTTTAATCTTTGGAGGACTTCATTTTAATAATTGAAGGACTCGATCGATAATTCACTAGACTGCAAAAATAAGTCTACTGTACTGTGCAGTTGGTGTATTGCGAGGCCAGCACAGGCAAGAAATTAGCAATTATGTCGTCAAGACCTCGCCACTGCCTCCACATTCTATCATCAAGGTAGGCCTGGAGGTCATCGCGGGATATTCCTCGCCGTGCTTTAAGAGGCATTTTCAAGTTGGCCCACGCCGACTCAGCTTCTTGTGTATGGATACCAGTTGCGGGATCCACAAAATTTTCCGAGTGAATGACAACCCGATGACGGGCAACTCGGTTTGGCAAGTGTCTTTGTAAGTTGCGATATGCTCCCCAGTCGTCTGTGTACACTGTGCTTCCTGGTTGCAAGCACTTGGCCAAAATTGGCAAAAGAGTTGCCCGATCCCTACGCCTAACTACCTGGTAGAAGCCTTTGGCTGGACTTGAGGCTGTGTATAGAACGCCAAACACCCATAAGTCAGGGGCTCGTCTTCCTCTGTTGTACTAATAGAGAAGATATCGTCATAACTTTTTCTATGTAACTGCTTCGATCATCGTAAAATGTTTTAACAAAGATTGTTTGCTAATGCAGTCTGCAATCCACAGTCAGAAAACTGATTTGTCCAGCACAGTCTATTTTAGACTATCAATTTTAGTAAAACACTTTCAATTAAGTTTTTTTAGATCTTGTTGCTAATTATGTACTTTGAGTAATATTTTAAAGAGTTTTTATGAATAAGACCATATCAGCTTGGGTGGAATTTATTTGATTAAATGCTGCTACTTAAACTTAGCAAGCTTTGAATTTACCTTTGCTTTATGGTTAAATTTACTCTCGTCACATTTCACAACAGCCGCTCCTCCGACCGGAAACGGGAGAAATGGATTTGTCGCCAAGTCCACGGAACAAATATCCTCTAAGGCACGAAATACTTTGCAAACCAGGTTGTTGGCGATGGCCAACATCCGCGACGTCTTCTTGCGGCTCAGGTCCACCGACCAGAAGTATATTAGCATAATGAGCTGTCCTAGAGGTAGCTTCGGAAACTTGGCAAAGAAAGAATTTGTCCTAATGCTTCGTTTCATCTTGCAAGTATAGCATCTCCTAAACAAAGGGTGAGACAAGATGAGACGACCGTTTTAAACATTTGCCGGGATTCGTTAATATCCGAGCTATCTCGGGAAAAAAAAAGGAAAACGAAATGGAAAATGAAGAAGTGACAAGGGAATCATACATCCTTTCGAACTACACTTAATTTACATTTTATCAATTGAAAACGGGGCGTCAACCGTGGCCCACCTGCGCGGTGCCTGTCGTTCACGAGGAACAAATTACGAGCAGATGATCACTAAAGCGCTTATGTTGAGGCTGTTTTGGTTTTGGTTTCGTTTTGTTTCTTTTTTGTGTGTTTGTTTTATTTTTCTAAATCAAACATATCAAGTTGGAGATTAAATAAGATTGATTTTAACTGACCATAAATATGGTTATATTGCTGAGCTTCTTAGTCGCATTTTAGAGGATAATGTTCTCTTGCGTAGAAGTTTCCATCGACTTCGTCAAAATTAATCTTTTACCGGAATACTACAAAACGAAGACTAAAATATTTGAGGCCTCAACACTTGATCTATAATTACTTTCATGCGAAATCTAGTAGACAAATTCTCCTCCCTACCATCGCAATTCGTCCACGTGGGCATCGGTTCGTTGAACCATTATCATGTCTTGGTTGCACACGCCGCAGTGCAATGGATTGGCCAATAATCCCTGGTTTTGAAACCATCGGATTATCCTTGAAGGGTTCGCACGCTTTAAATTACTAAAATAGAGGAGATCCATGTTGCACACGAAATAACAAAATCAATCAGCCAAGGAGCGCGATAACAGACTATCAACCGCTATATTCGAACATGTCTACTACACCTTTGTTTGTCGTCATTGGTCGATTTGGTGCACTGTCATTCGTGCGTTTCGCTCCTCATTATTTTTCCGACTAGTACATGTTGTTTCCGCTTAAGTCCTCTTTGTTGTTGACCGGCTGTTATGTTGTCAACCGCTATCCCTATTGATGTTATTGGATGGAGTCTAATATGGATGGCTTCCTTGACCCTACGGGTCAATAACCTTAACCTGGTTCCAAACAAGAACGTGTCCTGTTTCATTAACGTGTTGTGTATCTTCTGAGTTTTGAGTGTGAGCAAGCCGCGTCTCTTTTAAGTGCTCTTTATGGCTCAGTTATTGCTCTTCTTGTTTTCCCTTCCTCGATACGTCATTAAATTGGGACGCCAGAGGTTTCATTACCACTAATGCATACAGAAAGGATACTCGCACAGGCCAATACTTGGCCTTTGACCCACATCATCCTTAGTCAGTAAAGCGTGTTTTTGTCTAGTGTCTACA